CAAACTTCATTAGCACAACAAGATGAACACTGAATTCGTAGAAGTAGTTATAACAATTGTAGTAATATATAAAAGAAAGATTGCATATAAGGATATAATCCAGGAAGAAAGAATTAGTTCGTAAAAAGAAAGATATAAGGCAATTTTAATCTCATAGTTTAAAGGAAGACAGAGAGTGTATACACCTACGCCATTGTGATTGATTCTGAATCAAGTCAACTAGAATCACCAACCATTGGTTACGATAGTCACATGGACCCCAACCGAGTAGTCTGCATCTATTAACATGGTTCAGACTAGAAGTTAATGATTTCAAGCACTGATGCCACGTTTTGTTTTGGCCGCCCTTAGCTTTGTTTTCTCATAATCGAGAGGTAAACAGTTGACTTTTTTTAGAATATATGACTCCTCAGAAAAATAACAACGAAGGAATTTACTAAATGACATAAGTAACTTATTTTACGTACGTACCAGAAAACATTTCAGAATGTTAAGGAATATCGAGCGCTAAATTGTGACAATCATCTTTGAAATATATATTTGGTTATATCAAGTTATTAACCGTTAACATTCACCATATACATTACCTCATACACATATAGACGGATGATTTATACATATAGTATCTTCATTTCATTTGTAAATAGTGACAAAAAAATCGATATAATTTAGTAAATATTTGTTTAACACATTTTATTACATACATGATGTACAGTTATATGTACGTCAATTAGAGATTATCTAGTATAGGGGTTGTGGAGATTATTAAGTTTTTGATTGAGATCATGAACCAATTGATGTTAGGCCACCACAATTGAAAACCTGGAAGCATTGGACGGCCGTTTCGTCCTATCGTGGGACTCCTCAGCAGTGCGCATCCACGAACCCGCTCGCGGGATTGAAACCCAGGGCCTTCGGTCTCGCGCGCGAACGCTTAACAAACTAGACCACTGAGCCGACATCCAATGGTGATAGTTTCTAACATCAACCAATCCACGAAATTGCGCGACCAACTTCTGTTGTACTGAGGTAGATACCTCTCTCTACCCGACAAGAATTAGCTCCACTGGTCACGGCTTCTCACTAGAACTCCGAGAATTCCCTCACGAAGCTAGTCACTAGTGATCACATGTTGATTACTAGTATAGGGGTTGTGGAGATTATTAAGTTTTTGATTGAGATTGAGATTATCTATTTAAAAGCACTGTACAATTTGTATAACTGATGAGTAGGGAAGGAGATTCTATGAATCCAATATTGACTTATTATAAATATTTGAAGGGGTTTTGTATATATTATAGTAATTTTAATAGTTGAGATCATGAGTCAATTGAAGCTAGATCATCACTGAAAATCTGGAGGCAATGGAGTTCAACCGGGTTTGTTGTGAGATAGTAGCTTACTGAAGACACTGTTGAATGTGTCGGTCAATTTCATGAATTACTTGAAGTTAGACATTAACACCGTTGAAAGCCGTCCGGCTCAGTGGTCCAATGGTTAAGCGCTCGCGGTCCTGGATTGTAGTCTCACGAGACGGGATCTTGGATGCGCACTGTTGAGGAGTTCCACAATAGGACGATTTGGCCGTTCAGTGCTTCCAGGTTTTCCATGGTTGTCTAGCTTCAATTGACTCATGATCTCAATTATTATAAATAATCAACTACAATGTACACTTTTTTATTAAGTGTTGAGTAATATAGGAAAAATTCGGTTTAGATCAAATCAAAATATGTGATATTCTCATGAATTTCGTCAACTAATGTACTCAGTCATGTCTAAAGCTGTATATTTTATATTTGGTTTCTTTCAGATAGTTGAATTTGTTATGTATTTTCTTGTAAACCCTGAGCATATGATTATTCCATGTTTTTTTACCCCATGACAATATCTATTTCATGTTGACCAGTAAATTATGTTTTCAATTTTTCACATTTATTACCTTCTTTTGATATAATAGATGGATTGTGATCAGTAACGAAATTTGTGTGTGGTATGAAGGTACGCACTGAAGACAGTGTGACAGGATTCTGCAATACAACGGGCTGATTGGATATAGATATGTACACTACTGAATGCCGGCTTGGTGGTCTAGAGTTTGAACATCTGCACACAAGACTGAAGGTTTTAAGTTCGGTTCTTGATTGCAGGGTCATGACTCTTTATCGCTAAAGAATCTCATACTAGGATGAATCTAGACCCTCCAGTTCCGTCCACGAGTGCTTAATCTCTATACCACTAAACCAGAATCCAGTGACTTGGGTATCCAAATTCAGCTATCCAAATCATATTGCTTAACTCTCTACAATCGTCTACCATGGACATATGCTTCATAATCGAAATGATTGAACTCCACTGGTCACGACTTTTCTTTAGAACTACAGAATCATTTGTTGAAACTAGTCACTAGTAAGTCCATAATAATTACCAGTTAAGAGATTTGTGAAAATTATAGAACTTTAATTTGTAGTAGTTAGTTAAAACATTATCACTGTCCATAAGATAAACAAGGATCGTAACGAAATGAAAATTGACCAAGTCTTCTCACAAATATAATTTAAACTGATCAGCTGAAGACACTGAGACTACGTTTCAATTATTGTTTATCGAAAATTACAATACATTATGACAAGGTTATACAATGACCATTATAAGCTGTCACAATCATAGTTAAAGCTTATTAGTTTTTACATTACGTTTGTATTGCTTTTAGAGTTTCAATGACTAAAAAAAAAACTGCAAAACATGTACTACATATGCAAAAGAAAACATTCTAAGTAATTAACAGACAAAATAATTAAAATTGTGACTTGGAAAATGTATATCATATTATTAATACTTGAATTTTAATTTCGATTTATCTTTAGGCCTCAAATCTCCTGGTACGGTCAAGGGTGGGGAGAGTCAGCTCTCTCTTTAAATACTCTCAAGTGGCCACGTGGATACGACCAATACCAGAGAAGTCCTAATCACTGCCTTCTGGTGGCGGGGATGTTTTTTTTTACGAAATTGAGAGGATGAAAAGCGAATGTCCGGTGATTTAACTGAGTTAGTGGATATGGAGGATCCATCTAGGGGAATTGGAAGACCCTGACTCCGAACCAACGATGTACATAGACTCCAGTATCCTGAAAGAACAAATGGCGTCTGAACCAATTGCTGGTCATCGGCTACCATGAGACTGCATCTCCTTAAGTTGCTCTACTGCCTTGTGGATCAGACCTTTACGCCAAAGGCTCCAGGTGTGGCCCACTAAGAAAACCACCTGCTTTAGTGTGGGCAAACGGGCAGTATCACAGTTCACACACAAATCAAGTGATTTGTGTGGCGCATATGTATTCGATTTTAAGGAATTTTACGAGTTCATACCAAATTTCTTCTGTAAAATAACTGATGACTGTTAACGCACTGATTTCCGCATATAGCTCTATATAGTTAGGTGGTTTATTTTTCCCAGTCAATCACATTGTTTTCTAAATTAACATGAACCATATAGTTGAGAATATTCTCATAGTTGCTTAGGAAATATCATGGGCTTTATATTAAAAAACGATTTCTCTGTTAGACAGTTTTCTTTGTTGACTTTTTCTTAGGAAAAACATCTAAGCTGAATTCAGGTTAAGTATAGTTTTTTAGGTTCGGTCACTTTAAAGTCAATAGCTATTGACGACTTAGATTTCTTGTCAATCAATACATAATGAATACAATTAAGGATATGATATCACTAACATTTTCATAGTATCAGAAAGGTTTTTTCTTTGTGGATATTATGATAATTTCTATGGTTGAGATCATGAGTAGTCAACTGAAGCCAGATCACCATAGAAAACCTGGAGGCACTGGATGACCAACTCGTCCTATTGTAGGACTTCTCAGCATAGTAGGCAATTGTCGTAGAGATGAAATACTGGACTATAAGTCACTCAATTACAACTGGAAGTGTTGTGTATCATTCCAAAAAGTGCGTAAGCCAATGTAGTTATCTCTGACATTGTGTCTTATAAATGTTTGATAATATCATATTTTATAGTCTACAGACCGATATTAACTTGGGGTAAAAATCACTATCGAATAATGTTAACAGTCAAAATTGTATTATTGGCTATGAGACCTGAAAATTCTGGCTTAAATCAACGGAGTCATGACTGTATAATAATGAGGAACTCAGAACAAGATGAAACATTTATTCAATCTTTTCTGTTTTCCAGTGATACTATAACTAGATTATCCTATGACGAGTAAAACCTGTGAATTAAACCAATTTCCACTAAAACCCCTTCAATAAGAATAGAAATCCATGATCATTTCATGGTTGATAATGAGTACCATTTTATCTGAGCTAAGGTCATCACTAGAATTATCTTCTCAAACAAGTTTAACTTATTAATCCGACATATGCTCACTTCTGAGAAGTGTCACAATGGGAAGAGTTATCCATCCAGTGTTTTCAGGTTTTCCATGGTGGTCAAGCTTCAAACGACTCATGATCTCAACTGTTTAAATTACTACAATCTCCACAAAACCTCTTCTGATACTAATCAACATATGCTCACTAGTGACTGGCTTCAAGATATATATCCTGGAGTTCTAGTGAGAAGCAGTGACCAGTGAAGTTCAACCGGGTCAGTTGTGAGATAGTAACTCACTGATAACAATGGTGGATGTGTCACTCAATTTCGTGCATTAGTTGAAGTTAGATATTAACACTGTTGGATTCATAACCGGCTCAGTGGTCGAATGGCTAAGCGCTAGCACGCGAGACTGATAGGTCTTGGCTCCAAATCCCACGAGGCGGGGTAGTGGATGCGCACTGCTGAGGGGTCCCACAACAGGACGAAACGGCTGTCCAGTGTTTCCAGGTTTTCCACGGTGGCCTAACTTTAATTGACTCATGATCTCAACTATTCAAATTACCAAAATCTTCACAAAATCCCTTCTGATACATATCAAAAATGTTGAACGAAATGGATAATACACTTTAAAATAAAAAAAATATCAATTACCTGATAATAAAGTAGTTGAATTTGTTTTACTATACGTTTTGAAGAGAATTCAACACAAACACATTTTGACATACATAATACAAATATTAAACTGGCCATTAAGAAATACCATCCCAATAATTCATATATATTATTATTATTAGAAGAAGAAGAACTATTCAACATTCCATTGATCATAGAACGAAAAACCAATATACTAGCTGGGAATGTTATACCCAATAATATTGCACATATATTTCCAATGATAATCAATAATTTATTACTAGTGGAAGCATATTGAAACTACAAAAAATAATGTATCATATTTCAACAAATACAAACAAACTACTTACAAGTTTTCTAAATGAAACATCATCATTCTTCTTCTTCTTCTTCTTCACATTTTCATCATGACTGAAAAGAAAAAAGAAGAAATAGTTTCAAAACAAATTACATCATTACTTTATAGATTTCTGGCTTAAATTGATTTGAGTATTGGGTAGTTGATGATTATCAGTCATTACATTGAACAAATGGAATAACAAATGAGTACAAGGATGATATATAAATGTAAATGTTATTACTATGTTAGAAATGATCAATGTTTGATTGGTTCAATTTTTTTTTTAAAAAAAAGGTATCAATGTAATTTAAACCAATAGAAGTTAACTAAATGTTTACACCAATATCAATGGTTAAGATCATGAGTCAGTTGAAACTAGACAACCATGGAAAACTTGGAAGCACTGGACGGCCAACTCGTTCTATTGTGGGACTCCTCGACAGTGCGCATCCACGACCCCACCTCGTGGGATTCGAACCCAGGATCTATCAGTCTCGAGCGCGAGCGCCTAACCATTCGACCACTGAGCCGGTCATGAATGCACTAGTGTTAATGTCTAACTTCAATTAATCCATGAAATTCAGCGACACATCGACTGTTATCTTCAGTGAGTTATTATCTTACAACAGACCCGTTTGAACTCCATTGATCACTGCTTCTCACTAGAATTCCAGGAAATACCTCTTGAAGCCAGTCACTAGTGAGCATATGTTGATTAGTATCAGAAGGGAGTCTGTAGATATTATAGTAATTTTATTAGTTGCGATCATGAGTCAATTGGGAAGTCCCACAATAAGACGAAACGGCCGTCCAGTGCTTCCAGGTTTTCCATGGTGATCTAGCTTCGACTGACTCATGTTCTCAGCTGTTGAAATTACTGCAATCCCACAAAACCACTTCTGTACTAATCATTTGGTATTTGTTTGTTTGTATCTTCCTATTGTTGTTTTTAGGTTTGTAATTGATAAATCTTTTGTTGGTATATATATATATATATATATATATATATATATATATATATATATATATATATATATATATATATATATATATATATATATCCTATACAGACTGTCTCGATGTTGTCTTAATTCACAGGTATTCTAAGCAAAGATGGATAAAGGTTAGCTATGGAATCCAGTTTGACGCGAGTTTCGTCCTATCTGGAACTTGTCAGCTGGATTTACTTCCATCTCAGAGTTGATATTCACTCTGGGACACGAATACAGTATTATTCGCTTCAAATGCCATCGTGTTATTCACTTAGCTATTGAGTCCTAATATCCTCTTTCTTTACAGTGGGCTGAAGTTTTAAATTTACTTGGTATTGTTTTACTTAAATCTTCCCATAGATGTTTAGGACTGTAATGATCAGTCTCTTGTTGGCATATGTATATCCTGTGCAAACTGCCTCGATATTGCTTTAATTCACAAGCATCTTAAGCAAAGATGAGTAGCGGCTAGCAGTGGAATCCAGTTTGATGAGCGTCTCGTCTTATTTGGAACTCGTCAAAACAAATAGTTTGACAAAAATTGGATGCCGAATATAAAGAAGCCATTATTTATGAAAATTATATTTAAATTAATGTCAATGATTGAAATTTGTAATAATTCCAACGTTTCGTCCAACAAACTTGTCTGAACTTCTTCAGGGTAATAAACTATCAAAGATAGATTACAAACATACTGCCTTAATGAAAAAACAAATGAGTTCTCAAATATTTAGACAGATCAATCGTGACATACAATAAAAACTAACTTAATCAAGAAACTAAAGTGTAAAAATGTTGAACTAAATTTGAATGAGGAAATACCAATACATAACTGTAATGTACATAATTGAGTTAAATTTCTGAATATTTACGACCGATTTTAACCTGACAATTTTTAGACTACACAGTTCAGCTATAATTTTAAGAGTTGAGATCATGGGTCAGTTGAAGCTAGACCACCATGGAAAACATGGAAACACTGGACAGCCAACTCGTCCTAATGTGGAACTTCTCAGCAATGCGCATCCAACCAAGGATCTATCAGTCTCGCGCGCTAGTGCTTAACCATTCGAACACTGAGCCGGTTATGAATCCAACAGTGTTAATGTCTAACTTCAACTAATGCACGAAATTGAGCGGCACATCCAATATTGTCTTCAGTGAGTTACTATCTCCCAACAGACCCGGTTGAACTACACTCAGCTATAATATATTTTTCCCAATTTAGTGATTATCTGATTGTCTAAATAATCAAGCCTGAATTATTGGTTGTTGAAATTTCCAATCAACTGCCCATTGGTATGCAGAATAGCTGAGTTGTTGGAATTTCTCATTAAATATGATTAGAAGAAACAGAATTTAGCGAAGAAAATTTTACTTTCAACGAAATCATTTACTTAAGCTGTACATTCGTTTATATAGTTATATGGAAATTATATGTCTATAGAAGGATAGAAAAGATTAAATCATAAGTTGATTCGAGACTCTTATTATTATCGAAACATACCGATAAAGGGAATTAAGGCCAAGGAAGAATGTGAGTTTGGACGAATCGTTTCTGCACGTAAAGTTCGGGTTTGAGTTCATGGATAGCCTTATGCCACAGCAGTGCATAAAATATTGATTCGACATCCTTTCGATCCAATTCATTTGACTGTGTAGATTACTTTAAAAGAATACTCCTTTGGAGTGATTGATAAAATACTCCTGTATAGGACTAGTAACTGTTTTACATTCTCCTTTTAAAAACCATGCCTGATAGTTTTCTGAGATGCATTTGTGCGGTCAATGTAACTTATCCCACATGAAAAAGTAAATTTATAGGTGCACATTGATGTGGTCCAAAACGAAAGTTTATCTTTAATACATACATGAATGGTAGGCCAGCTTGAGAAAGCGATTCGGAGCTTAGCTGTGTAGAACGTTTTATTCAACGATTTTGGAATCCGTTTATTTAAGATTTCAGCAGCTTTATTTCCTTTAAATTCCACATGCATAAAACGGTTTTCTTTTGTACTGTCGTTGCTTTTCATGATGATTTCTAGGTGTTAAGTTGCTATCGACGAATCTGGGAGGATAACTATTCCTCATGAGTGTCTGTCGAAGTTGAAATAGTTTTTCATCTATTATGTCAGTAGAATATATTCGTCTGATCCTTGAGAATAAAGAGTGAATTAAGTTCCTCTTTCTACTTAATCGGACTCAGCTGTAAAAATTCGAGTACTGCCCTTTCCAGGTTAATTTTCTATATGTAGATCTCTATAAAAAACCATCCGGCCTTATTTTCAATCGGACATCAAGAAAATGAAATTCATTGTTTGCCTCTACTTCTAAGGTGAATTGAATTGAGGAATGGCAATTATTGAAACTATTCAAAATTTTCATTGAGGTCCATGTCATCTTTACAAATAATAAAAATATCATCCATATATCTCTAACGTAAATGAAATCTCTCTATTATTGATCAAAGTACCAATCATCATTCAATCTAAATTGCACATTGAGATCACATCGTAGAAGTAGCTCTTTTAGTTAATGTTTTGGGATACAAATATCAAGGTTATTGTTTTCAATATAGTCACATAAAAAAACATAGTTTCTGTGAGAGAAATAGTTGTAAAAAGTGAAGTGACATCCATTGAGATCATTTTCCTACCATTTGCATTGATATTTTTAATGAAGTCGAGAAAAAGTCAAAGGAATCAAGACAGTTGTATTTAATGATATGATATTTAACGTGTTGTAAAATATTGGCTAACCATTTAGCAACCAGGTGATACGGAGAGTTGTTCATATCAAGTATAGGACATAGAGGGACATTATTCTTATGAATTTTTAGGAGTCCATATAGTCTTAGTATAACGGAACCACATAGTTTAAGATGAACATAAAGGTCACAATTGATAATAAACTCATCTTTCATCTTCTTTAGGGTTTTAATTAGCATCTGTTCCGTTTTTCAGTTGCGTCTTTTTGAACGGTTTCTTTGGAGAATTTGACAGGATCAGATAATATCGAAGACAGTTTGATGACATAGTCATAACAATCAATCAGGATAATTCCTACACCCTTGTCTGGGCGTCATAACACTAAGTCCTGATTTCTCCACAGATCAGATAATTGAGATTTATGTTCTTTTGTGAGTAATCGACTAATTGTAGGTATTTTATTTACATATTGATTACAACAGTCTACAAGAGTTGTTTTGAAATGTTCATAATCTTTATTAGATATTGGAATAAGGTCATTCGTCTGACTAATGAGGCTTTCAGATTCGATTTTAGCATTGGGTTTATTAATGTTAATTGACTCACTACAAAATTTAGAACCAAGATATAATGCTTGTAGCATTTCGGAAAAAAAGTGTGGTATTATCAAGTGGCAGTTGACTATGATCGCCACTACAGATCGATTACGTGCCAATTACCAGGTTATATCCCTCTGTAGGATAAATATTAGGATGGTGATCTTGTGGTATCGAAATAACACCAAGATCGTGCTGAAGTTTACAGGCGAGACTACCGTGCGTACGTGAGTAAGTTCAAGGTCACAAAACAAAAGAAAATGTCAGTTTTTGGTACAATTAAACAAAAGGTACAATAAACACAATCATTGGTGCAGTAGGTTATAATAATAAATGCTTCCGTTACACCAATCACATTCTCTTCATAGATGCAGATCACTACAGAACTTTGAGTCTCGGTCTGTTTTAAACTGTTCATCAATTTCTAGATCACATCTTCCGTACAACTCTTGCCAACGGTATCAATGTAATCTTTGAATTTGAAATATTGATCAAAATATGATTACATACAGTAGTGAAAAGTTTCCGAAATCGATTACTTAAACATCAGAATTAAAGATAATTAAGTTTAGTCTAGTTGGTTAAGCGCTTGGCACGAGACTGATAGGTCATGGGTTCGAATCTCGCGGGGTGCAGGGTCGTGGGTGCGCACTGCTGAGGAGTCCCATATTAGGACGAAACGGCCGTCCAGTGCTTCCAGGTTTTCGATGGTGGTCTAGCTTCAATTAACTCATGATTTCAATCTGTGAAATTAAATTTTTTATTATAGATCTAGACTACTATGTAATTTATAACAGTAAGGTAATAAAAGTAAAGAGAATTTAACGAAAAAAAGTTTCATTTTGGCGTAATCATTTACTTAAGTTGTACATTCGTACTTATAGTTTGTGGTGGTCGGTATTCGATATAAT